GCACTCACAAGCTCAGCACCTCTAGCAGCACCAGAGTCAAGAGCTACCTTGATAGGCTCGACTACGTCTACATGGGACACACCTGACGGGGCATGACCCTGAGGGGGAAGGGGGTCTACCGGGGGAGGACTTGGTGCAAGGTGAGCGGCGGTGGGGGGAGAGGCGCAGTGCGGTAGGGGAAGTGATGGTAGTAAGGTACCGACTCGTCAAAGGTGACGTCCTGGGAGGACAGAACACGACGCGAGGTGGGGTGGTAAAACTGCCACCCAGGCGCATCAGGAGGGAAGCCAACGAAGACGCAGGGAACAGCACGGGGGGACAGCTTGTCCGCAGACAAGTCGCGGACAAACGCCCAAGATCCCTAGACCCGAAACGCAGTCGTATCGCCAACCTTCCCGGTCCACCGCAAGGCGGGGGAGGTCTCTGGCAAGGAGACCCGGGGCTGAAGGTTGAGCTGATGCGCTGAGTACTGAACCGCAAACGGCCACAGAAAATGGGGGGCAGCCGCATATATCATGGACGTACGAGCGATGTCCATGACCATGCCAATGTGGCGCTCAGCAATCCCATTTTGCTATGGAGAGGCCGGAAGCGCGAAGGTCTGGCGGATGCCCTGTGCACGACAGAAGGCTCCCAGACGTGCAGAGGAAAACTCCCCGCCTCTGTCAGAGTGCAGACGCAGAACAGGAAAGTTCGAGCCGAAACTCTCTCTGAGGTTGAGACGAGCTGCGCGGATCCAGTCGATCAACACCTCAGTGACGTCACCCTTGCTGCGCAAGGGGAAGACTGTGGTGTAACGCGAGTAGTCGTCAACCACCAGCAGGAAGTACCGCTCGCACCCCTGCCCACTGACGCGGGCTGGGCCCCACACGTCCATGTGAAGAGTCTGCAGCGGAGCCTCTGTCGGAGGAAACTCGGAGGAGTGAGGGGCGGCGCGCTGTCGCCCCTCAACGCAGGGGACGCAGGTAGGGCCAGGCCCCGGAGGTAGGGGAGGGAGAGACCGAGGGAGACCAGAGACAAGGACACGGGAGGCCATGCCTCAGAGACGAGGCAGGGAGGGGTGACCAAGGCGGTGGTGCCAAAGGAGAGTCTGGTGGGAGAGCAGACGACACGAGCTGGGAGCAGACTCAGCACCAGACCTGGATGCTGCAACAAACACCTGACTCGACGCAGCTACCTGTGCATACTCAACAGTCAGAGGAGACTGAATAGTAAGGTAGTACAGGCTCGATCCTGGCCGACGGGTGAACGTGGCCAAGTGTCGGCCTGTCCGAGCACACGTGCAGTGGGTCACTTGCTGACTCGAAGGAGTGAACTGGTCAACCCCCCTGTCCTGTAGGTCCGCTCCACTCACCAAGTTTGTAGAGAACGAGGGGAGGTAGATAACTGACAGGGTGCCAGAGGGGTCTGCCGGGCACGGTAAGACAGTGGAGAAGCTAGCAAGGACAGGACCCCCAGAGGGGTCTGCCAGGGAGACTGCAACCGGCCGACTGAGCGGCGTAAGAGTGGTGCAGTCTCGAAAGAAGGAGCGGGACGCACCCGAGTCAAGAGTGAAGGTGTGGAAGGCCTGAGCCGGCGTAATACCTGAGAGAGCAGACTCACCAGCACCTGGGGCAGCAGACGCACTGGCACCTGGTGCAGCAGACGTACTAGCACCTAGAGCAGCAGCCTCACCAGTACCTAGAGCAGTAGCCTCAATGCCCGGGTCAGGCGGTACACACAGGTAACAGTCATCCTCAACACTAGTAGTCACAGAATACATGGCAGCAAGGATATCATCATAGTCAAGATCAAAGACGGCAGCCCCTGCCTTAGACAGATCTCCCCAGGGAGGGATCTCTGACGCGTCAGGGAACTGGCGACGCCATGCGTCCATCACGCGATCGAAGCAGCGCTGGGTGGAGTGCGGGCCTCCGCACTGCTCACCAGCTCGGTCGCCGGTACGGAGGTCGTAAGTGCAAGGACCAAAACCCCCACCGCGCTGACGCGCAGTGTACCACTCACGAAGCTGCTGAGGGGACAGGGTCACACCACTCCGCTGCTGCTGGCGCGGACCACCACTGGAGCCACTCCTCTACACAGAGTCATGACCCGCTCCACCACCGCCGCCGCCGCCACCGCCTCCGCCGCCTCCTCCACCTCCGCCTCCTCCGCCACCTCCGCCGCCTCCGCTCCCTCCGCCACCACCACCGCCTCCGCCGCGTCCACTGCTGCAGAGTGGCACCACTCCCACCACCACCCCCACTCCCTCTACTGCCTCCACCACCACCTCCACCGCCCCCTCCACCCCCTCCAGCGCCCTTGCCCCCCTTGCCCTTGCTGGTGCGGCGTTTCCCGCTCGGGGCAAACGCAGCGCTGACCGACTCGAAACCAACGAGGTCGGCCGCAGCAGCAGAGGCAACAGAGGGCAAGAGGGGGGAGGGAGAACACCCCTCAAAGACAGGGGTGCGAGGGTCACCACGAGAGGCTCCTACAGCGACTATGCTCTTCTCTATCGCTAGGAGGGCGTTCTCGAGGAGGTCAATGGTGAGAGTGGTGGGGCAAACTGCGAGGAAGTGGTCCCTGACTGTGCGGAGAGAGTCAGGGAGCTGGGTGACTATGTAGTAGAGGGTGATGTACATGGGGGGGGTGGGTTCTTGGCGCAAAACTCAGCAGGAAGCGCATCGCGGTAGCGAGTGTCATTAGTGCGGAGGTGCATAATGAGGTCAGCGACTGTGGGAAAGGCAGAAAGGTCAGGGAAGAGGTATGGTAGCATGAGGCGGCTCAGTGCAGCAGTGGCAGGGGAAGAGTAGTGTGCAACTACAGCGTCGTACAAGGTCTAAGCACTCTTGTACTGGCTAAAGTATGCACGCTCTGTGGTCGGTAAGTGGCGGTGCACAGCAAGGCGAGCACCAGCATCATGCGTGGCCCACTGTGAGCGAACAGTGGCGTCAGCATCAGCAGCAGGGGCAAGAGAGGCACCAGAAGTGAGGTCAAACAGGGAGAGACCGTCAGCTCTATCGCACTGTAGGAAAAGCTGCAGATCATCTACCCAGACCTCAAAGTCAACTGCCCGGCCCTCAGCGTCAAAGGTGAGAACACTAGGGGAGGCCATGACAGCAGTAGACAGGCAGTGAGTACAGTGGGGCAGGGCAGTGCAGTGGCAGAGGCGCTGCTCTTACCAGGCAAGTGGGGCAGTCCCGGGCAGGCCGACAGGCGGCAGCGCCTCGGCTGCGGTGCAGCTCAGCAGCTCGGCGGTTCGGCTGCTGCGTGGCTCGGCGGTCGGGCGGCTCGGCTGCTCGGCGGCTCGGCTGCTCGGCGGCTCGGCTGCTCGGCGGTTGGGCTGCTTGGCGGCTCGGGCGCTGGGCGGCTGAGCGGTGACAGGGCCGTGGAAGGGCGGCGATGGGGCTGCTGAAAGGGCGGCGACAGGCCGCTGAAAGGGCGACGACGGGCCGCTGAAAGGGCGGGGACTGGGCCGCGGAAGGGCAGCGACGGGGCCGCTGAAGGGCGGCGACGGGGCCGCGGAAGGGCGGCGACGGGGCCACTGAATAAGTAGGCGGCGACGGGGCCGCTAAGAGGGCGGCGACGGGGCCGCTGAAAGGGCGGCAACGGGGCCGCGGAAGGGCGGCAACGGGGCCGCTGGAGGGCGGCGACGGGGGTGGGGGGGGCCGGGGAAGGGCGGCTACGGGGCCGCGGAAGGGCGGCGTTGGGGCCGCGGAAGGGCAGCGACGGGGCCGCTGCAAGGGCGGGCGGGGAGGCCATGGAAGGGCGGCGACGGGGCCACGGAAGGGCGGCGACGGGGCCACTGAAAGGGCGGCGACGAGGCCAAGGAAAGGGGCCGCGAGGGGGGTTCGAAGAGGGCCGCGAGGGCGGCTTGACGGGGCCGTGAGGACGGCGCGACGGGGCCACTAGGGGCCGTGAGGGAAGTCACACGGGGTGCGACTCAAGCAGGGGCCAAGCGCGCTCCGGGCAAAAAAAAAAAAAAAAAAAAGGTCGGTGGGCCCTAGGAACAGTTCCCACGGGGGAACCTACTCTATACCATGTGAAAATTAGAACGAGAATGATTGAACTATGAAACCGTTGGGTACAAGTACTGACCCTAATTGGGTTGTACCCCTTATGGGCTACCCCACTACAGCCTACACAGAAGTATAAGCTATAATGTTCTGACAATCCGCGCGTCCGAATGACAATTCGGGCTGGCCGAAACGGATTCGGCCAATGGGAGCCGGTTTCGGAGCGACGGGCAAATCGGCGCGCGTGCGAAGCCATCTCCGTGCTGCCCGAAATGGAGCCGGCCAATCGCCGTCGTTTACGAGCGTCGGAATGCTCGCAAGACCCTCGCGAACAATTGTTCGCGGAAAGCATGCTGAGATTAAATTTACGGAGCGGAGTGTACGCCATTCGAAAGATCAAACGAAATAATCTCTCCAATGCATCGGGGAAATATTCAAGTGCAAGTTTACGTGTAATATAACGGAGTGTAGCGTTAATTCGGGTGACCCGAATTGGTGTACCTGATCGTTACCTCGTACCTCGGCGATCGCGACGAGGAAAATTCGCTCTCCGCAGGAGTTGGCAGCCCGCTCCGAACGGGGCTCGCGGATGGTGTGCAACGTGGCGGACGTTGGCTGTACAAGCATGCATGTTGCGGAAGCGGCGCGTAATGAGAGGCCCGCGCAGTTTGACCGCGAGTGCCGTCTCTTGATTCCCTCTCGGCCATCTCTTAGGTTCTCGGTACGGGCACCTGGTGCTCATTTTCGTTCTCCGTCTTCACATATTGTTTTCTTCTTGCTTGCCCGTTCCACGTAGAGGTCCTCATCGCCTAGTGCTAGGAGAGACTCTTCTTGGCTGCGTTCGCGCTTGGTAGCGTCTAGCTTAGCTCTTATTTTCTGCCGCGAGCACTGTTTCGCGTACCGTTCGTCCTAGATACACACGAGCACTGTTTCACGTACCGTTCGTCCTAGATACACCGTACCTTTGGTCGCGCTCTTGCAGTCGTACTAGTAATGAGCCGCGAAATGAAGGTGCTTAGAGCTGGGTCGAAGGAGGCCGCCTCCTGTCCGGCCATCATCTCTGTTGCAGGAGCCACGGTGGACCTCCCCCCCGAACAGTGGAAGCTGCTCGATGAGGATAAGCATCCGCTCACGGCTCGTCTGTTCGACTTTGTCACCGGGTGAGATCCATGCGTTCCATTCCTTGACTCCAATATGCACAAGTTGTTTATGGTCGCGGTGTTTAGGCTGTTCGCGACATTTCAGCAATATTTACTAGTGGGCAGTGCAGGCCGCGGCATACCTCCGCTGTGCTTTTAGGTCGTGTTGTTTATGGTTGAGCTTTTCCCCGCCGTGTTTTACACCGTCCCGCACAGCGTGATTGTTCGGAGGTATCTAGAGAAGGAGGTGCATGAGCACATCCGAATCGTGACGAGCGGTGTTGTCACAGACATAGTCGTGGGTCGCGATGAAGCGGTCCAAGCCTTTGCCGGTTTGATGGAGTGCAGCCTGGTGGTTTTCTGCATCTGGTCCGAGTGAGTGTTCATTGGGAGTGTTCACTTGTACAGGGAATGCACTTGTTTACGTGGTTTAACGCGATCGTCAATGGCATGTTCAGGGACTTGTTCGACAAGAAGCGCTCGAACGCGAGCATGCTCATTCTGCTTCACCCCGATCACCTGTCGCTTGACAGTGACGAGACTTGGAACACGCGGTTCGTTCGCGTTGCTATTCCCACTGGTAGTGCGGAACACGTCACCGCGGCAGATGCGATTGTGGAGTGAGTACCGCATACTAGTTTATCATCAGTACCATGTTCATTTCCGCTCCGAGGCTCATGTCGCTAACCGTGCGTTCGCGTGGATATGTATGTGCTTTTGGGCAGGTGATTTCATGGTCGCGTTGACGAGGATTTTGTGCGCGACTCCATTCAGTGCACTCGCTCCCGCCAGCTTAAGGATCCCGAGCGTTTGTTGGATCTGGTACGTCTGTGTTGTGTACGTGTTCTCGATGACCGCCAATAGTTGCAGTGGTGCTAACAAACCCCATTTAATGTTTCCCAGGACGCGACGTCATTGAAGGGCTCCTGCGGCAATCTCGCTTGTCTGTTCGCGTTCGACAAGATCCTTGCCCAGTTGGACGCGGTCGCTGCCAGTGGATCCGGGCCGCAATTCGCGAAGACTCTGAATGCACTACGGCATGAGGCGTACCAAATCGCCGAAGAGCTCGCGTTCAACTTGAGCGTGGATTTGACGCGACCCAAGCACGGCGGTGAGGCTGAAGGTGCTGAAACGGGGAAGGTGCAGAAAGTGGCAACGGGTGCGCAGGTTGCTGACCATGGTGTTCACGCTCTCACAGGTGCCGCTGGTGTTTCGAACCGCGGAGGTGCTCGGGGGGGGACGGTGGTCCACACTGATGACGAAGGGGCCGAGGATACCGCGACTAAGGGTGCAACCCGCGATGAGGCTGACCGCGCTGTTGCGCGTGAGGGGGAGGAGTCGAGTGAGGAGGAGGCGGAGGCTCACGTGGTAGCGGCCGCGACATCCAGCAGACCCACTACATCCGGCAAGAGCATCAAGCACCTCGCGCAGCACTTGGCCCTTGGTGCTGGAAGCGCGGGCCCGAGTGGTGAGGTCGCGGGCAAGAGTCCCGTGACAGGTCCGCGTGATCACGCGTCCCTGTCCTCGTTGCCATCGCATAAGCTTGCTGTCAAGATCCTGCAGCTCGAATGCAGGCTTGCAGCGCAGGCCGAAGAGAACGCACGGCTGAAGAAACGCCAGGAGTCGGGGTTGGTGGGGTCGCGGTCGTGGGCTCTGAGGAGCTTGCGTCCGCGCTTGCTAATGCGGTTTGGGTGTTGGAGAAGGAGGCGCGGGCGATTGCGCAGGAAAGGGCGGCCCTGGTCGATACGCGTAACCAGGAGGCGTTGGTGCTGAGGCGAGTGGACGCGAGGCTGGGTCAGCTGCAGGGGGTGGTGGCAGACTCCATGGAAGCCGCTCAGAAGAAGCTGATGGACGAGGTTGCGGGAAGTTCGACAACATGTCGACCGCGGTCTCCGCGATAGCAGAGCGGGCAATCACCACCAGCGGGGTCACGAACGCGCTGCACACCCTCATCGCGCTCGTTGGAGGACCCCCCCCCCGCCGCGCACGGATAATGAAGGAATGGCCGCGACAGAGATTGCCGAGCCCGGGGATGCAGAGCATGGAAAGTGGGCAGCGGGTGCGAAGGCGGAGAATCAACGGGGGGTGAAGAGTTAGAGAGGTCCCCAGGCAGCGGCCGCGGTGCGCAATCCGAGCGTGTAGGACATGCTGAAGCAGAAGTGGGGCGCTGCAACGCGAAGTGCAGCACCGCCTGGTCAACCGGGTTCGAGCTCGCGCTCCATCACACCTGGAGAAGCTGTACCCAAACCACCGGGCCCTGTCGGGGCAACCGCGACAGTGAGGGGCAAGGGGCAAGGGTAAGGCGGAGGATGGAGAGGCGCCGGTAACTGCAGGTTCGCTGGCCTCGAGGCGTGATGTCCAGTCCGCAGCGGCTGCTGCGGCAGAGGGCAGGCAGACCACGCTCGCACCCGCTCGTGCTGTAATCACCACGGGAAATCTGCACAGCGCACTGGCATCTGCAGGTCCTATCGCGGCCTCGGTCGAGGTCAAGGCGGAGAAACGCGGACGGGGTGGCAAGAAGTTGCCCCCTCCACCCGTGTACACGTTCGACGAGGACAAGGCGGATACGGAGCTGGAGGGTCTCATGAGCAGGTGGGTCGAGGCGGGCGACGGAGGAGAGCAGGGTGGGGAGGCCGCGGTCGATGTTAATTGCGCCAGGGAGAGCGCGGACGAGCAAGACGGAGACCCCGTGATCGTGGAAGGTGGCACAACGGGAGGACATGGTGATACCGGCCCCAAGCGCAGGGGCTGCGGCATCCGCGCTCCACCTAGGGGCGGGCCCGGATTGGTTTCTGAACCCCATCTAGGGGGGAAGAAGCGATGGCTTGGACACGCCGACCGCCAAGACCTGCAGTACAGGACCGCGATCGCGATGTATCCCTGCGACGGGAAGGTCGACCCCGAGCTGAACCTGAGCCAGCAGCAGATCCGAGAATGGGCCGCGGACCTATCCATCGCCGAGGGGTTACATATGGGCCTCTTAATCACCATGCACTACCGCAACCTCGTGGCAAGCAAGGACAGGTGAGCTGTGCCGATCCACCACCATCTAGTGCGTTCATACGGTTTGGTATGTTCTCATGTTTTGGCCGCTCCAACCCACTGCGTGGCAGGTGGCAACGCATGTTCGATTCATATCGCGGGCTAACCAAGCCCGGAATGCATACCACCAACGTGATTGCATGGGCCGCGGTGGTAGGCAAGGACGGTGCAGCAGAAGAAGCGGATCTCGGCGATGTGGAGCCGACAGACTACGCGAGAGCGATCGCATGCGCCATTGCAATGGTGTGGGAGGTCACTCGCGGTTCTAACATCATTGCCGCAGCAGATAATGGAAATCTCGCCGCGCGTGCTGCTGGTTGCTATGGAGAGCGAAGCCGTCTCTTCCCCGTAGTATCCGCGTACGTCATCAATGCGGTGTGGAAGTGCAATCGCCGCGAACATTAGCAGGCTGATGAAGATGAGCCACAGGTTGTCGCGGACCCGAAGGCGGTCGCCGCTGCGATCGTGTCTGGAGTCGTGAACGAGGTCGTTGCAAAGTCTCGCGATCTCAGGCACATTGAGTTGGCCGCCCGCGAAACGGTGGACGTTATCATCACCTGGTGCGAATGCTCGGTGGCAGGGAAGCAGATGGAGTCCTTGGGTTTGTACCTTGCCCTGCCCAAGGATCTTCTGAAGAAGCGGACTTGAGTGCGTGTAGGATCGCGTAGCATGTGCACAGCTTGTCCGCCATGCTTGAGTTCTACTCGCGGTGGATTGTGCTGGGCTTGCGGATCTGTGTGCATGTAGTATATCGTGTGTGTGTATGTATGTGCGCGCGCGCGTGAGAATTGGAACAATATGTGCTGGAGTTATACTCGCGGTGGACTGTTCTTAATTCTCGTACTTTGTGTGTGAAGGTTTGTAGGATTCAGTGGGTGCCTGTGTTTGCGCGTGTGCCATTTTAGTAGTAATCTACATTCGACTAAGGTATTCCCACACATTATCATTGTACACACTACGACGCGAACAATCTATGTATATTCGGCAAGAGCAGCCCGCGATGACCACGGCCGCGATGTAAATCAGCACTATCTTCGCGCAAAACAACAACACTCGCGGTCGATTATAGGGACCCATAACATCGCACCCGAAGACGGTGATATCAAGACGAACAACAGCGGGGTCAATCCATTTACTGCAATTCTGGCATCAGCGCACAGTACTGGGGCCACGTGAGCGTGAACTCAGACGCGGGAAGAGAGGCATTGATGAGACGGTCGCGAACAAGCATCCATTTCACACGCAACTGCACCTCCACCGGAGAACCCTTCTTGAGCTGGCTCAGTTCCAGGTCAACACTCTTCTTCTTTACCGCGATCCCTTCCGATACACCCGACATGCCCACAGCTCCGGACATGAGGTCGAGCTTGTCGAGCACTACCGCGATGTCGTCTCCTTGCTCCACCCTGTGGGCGATGAAGTTCATGATTCGCTTGACACGATTTATCGCGTTCTGGCCGCCTCCCTTCTCCCCAATGAGCGCGGCCATTCGCATAACTGCGCCGCATGGCTGGGCCAGAAGCGACTGTGGACTCTCGCGGATCAGTGGGTGCGTTGTCTTGTACAACTTCCATCCGTCTAACGGTTTGGTGGCGTTGACCCATGGAAGGACGATCGCGTCCCGAATCGTCTGTTCCCTAGTGGGCGGTGCGGGTTTCTTCCGTGTCCCCTGCTCGGTGGGAGTTGTGGCTTTGGTCGGCGCGGCCGCGGCTCCAGGAGTGGTTGCCTGGTTCGGAACCGCGGTCGGCCCTGAGCTGCTCACGGTGAACTGCGACAACTGGGCCTCCAAATCATTCATGCGCTCGTCCTTCGCGGCCAGCTTCCGATCGCGATCCTCCAGCTCTTTCACCCGTTTACGAGTCGCGACCAACTCTAGGCCCAGTCTGGTGTTGTCCACTTGTGAAAGAGTCAGGTGCTCATTGAGGACGGTCACTTGGTTCTGCGCGTCCATTCAAGTACTCACCTCCTGCATGGACAGAAAGGGACCGCGAACTTGTTATGGTTTGGCATTGACATCACAGCCGAAAGATAACGCGACCATGCAGTACTTACTGCGGGCTGGGTCAGTGTAGGTGTATTGTGCTATACTATGGCGAGTTGATTTGCCAATGAGGCATCTGCAGCCTACGACGCAAATTCCTCCGTCTGGCAGAGTGGGTTGTTGACCACGTACAGGTGTCGCGGCTGGTGGATGTAATACATTGCCAGGTCTTGCGCGACCGCCATCCTAGCGTCCCCATCCAGCTCCTTCAGTATGTTTAGCCCCGCGGTGTCCCGCTTCTCCAGCTTCTGCTTTTTCACCATCCTGCGGTTGTAATCCTTGCACTGTGACAATAAAACAACGCGGTAGTGAACGCGGTGCCAGAGGGTTATCTCAGAATCCCAACCACAAGACCATTGGGATAAAAGGGCTTATTTCAGTAGCGGGTCAGTGCGCCCATAACCCCCCAGGCAAACGTGCCTGTAACCCTTCCCTAGGATCGATCGGGGATCACCAGTGGACCTCTGACACCCCCCCGCACTGGGATGCCCGAAGTGCATACACCGGGATTCGAACCCGAGACCTTCGCTCTGGATACCATCTTAGAATCCCAACCACAAGACCATTGGGATAAAAGGGCTTATTTCAGTAGCGGGTCAGTGCGCCCATAACCCCCCAGGCAAACGTGCCTGTAACCCTTCCCTAGGATCGATCGGGGATCACCAGTGGACCTCTGACAGGTTATGTGGGATGCTCGTGGTCGCGTATGCGCGGCCCACACATACCTGTTGCTGTCCTTTGTCCGCGGCGGCCCATGGGAAAATGTGCTTCCTAAGTAGCTCATCCAGCTTATCGCTAACCGGAACAGTTGCGCGACCCAGGAAGTAGTCACCGTCAACCCCGGTGAAACCCGCCTTCAGCAGCACGGCCTCCCTCGGAATGGTTGTGAGGTAGTGCTTAGTCATCACGTCGATGAAGCGCCAACCCCCCAGCCTCGCCAGCTGATCCGAAGGCATTCCATCCGCGGACGCGTGCTGCGCCCCCCCAGCCCTAGTCGCGTGTACCGCACGCGAGCATGTGATTCCCGCGTCCTGGAGAATCTTTACCGCCCAGTCGTGATGAGTTGTGGGCGGTATTTGCTTCTCGTTGCCCGTGCGAAGGGGGAAGAACAGGTATTAATCATACCACGTCGAGGGTTCCATGAAGTCGAGAGGGGGGGCTATGTCCTCGCAGAGAATGGGAACCAAGTCGTACACCCAGTGCAGCCACAACAGCGTGGCTCCGACCACGCACAGCGTCCAATCTATGTGCCTCACAGCAGATATGTAGTTGAGCGAGAAGTCCTTGTTTGTCTTGCCCGTCCTGCGCGCGCAAACAAACATGAACGCGTTCCTCACTGGATCGGTCTCTGATTTTGCGCCGAGCTTCCACATCATCATGTCTGGCAGCTGCAGGTTTCTGATCGTGCATCCGCGGGCCAGAGTGTGATGACCGAGCATGGTCATTGTCCGTATGCAGAGGTCGGGATGCATTGCCTGCGTGTATGCTTTCTTGGCTAGTGTGAAGCTGGTCAAGATCGCGTCCATGCTGGTCTTCCGTATCATATGCTTGAACTCGTCCGGAGTGTACGTGTCCGCGATCGTGCCCCGATGTCGATCCATGGATTCCCAGCGCATCGATTGGGATGATAGTGCGGGTGTTAGTGGACGCGGTATTGTTGGGCATTAAACGCGTTTACTGAGTACGTATACTTACGCGATAAACCGCTTGTACTGGTTGCGTACTTGAACGCGGACACAGATGCGACCCTCCGCAAAGTTGCGCAGCAGGTTCAGAACGGGCTTTCTGAAGATGGCCCTGTCCAGCTTGATGAGCAGGTTCAAAGCCTTGAGACGCCCCATCAGCATTGCTGGGGTGCACTGGCGTCTCTTCTTCAAGGTCTTCTCTGGTCACTTGAGTGTGGCCATCCTGTACGCCTGCGCGACTGTCTCGTTCGCGAGGAAGGTCACGTATTTGCGTAAGCGCCACGGATTCGTCTCAGGGCCGTGGAACCACTGCTCGCCGACCTCCGCCATCTTCCAGTCACCACCCATGTTCTGTTCGAGCCCGGCCTCATCACCAAACCTACCCGCGTCCAGTTTAGGCAGCTCGTGAGCCATGAACCGCTTGTACTCGTTGGCCCAACCGCGATACTTCTTCAGCGTGGCCTCAGAGACACTGTAGAGGATTCCGTAGCACATCTCTCGTTTCGCGGCCGGCGTGTCGTCCACACCTAGCCTGTTCCAATCCGCGATAGGGACCTCAATGTCCCTCCGCGTACCCCGCACCCGTTCGTTGTCTTCCGCCTCCTCCTCGTTGAGCGCGGACAGCGAGTTCGATAGGTAGTTTTCGTCATCGTCATTCCAACTATCGTCCGCATCGTCAGCGTAGTCCTCGTCATCCTCATCGCTTGCCCCCTCGCTCCCCTCCCGGGAGCCATTGCGTGCTGCGTGCGGCACTACATCGACTCTCCGCCTCCTTATACGCGGTCTATTAACTGGCCCGTTACGTGACCCGCCGTTCACGTTAACACCGCTACCCCTGCCGTCGTTACATGTCACCCCATGCGCTCCCTGCCCGTTCGCACTATACTCGTTCGATCCCACACGTGTTCCACGTCCCGCGCTCGCTCTCCCACCCCTTTGTCTCGCACCTCTCCCTCTAGCCGTGTTCCCTCTCTCCCCTGTCCCTCTTCCCGCGTTCCCTCTCGCACCCATCCCTCTTCCCCTTACCGCGTTTCCGCTTGCACCCGCTCCACGCCCCGCGTTCCCCGCGTTTGCCTGTGGTTGCCCACCTACACCAGTCGCGTACGCTACAGTCGGATGCGAGGGGGTGCGGATGTGGACGTCGGGGTTTCCGGGCAACAGTGAGTTCACGTTCCATATTGGCGGCGAATGTGCACACGCGCTTGCATTCATCCCCGCTCCACCATTCACCGCACGCCCTAAACCACCGGCAACCGCGTTTGATGATGGGTCGTCTTTTCGCGCCCGTGTGTCCAAACCGACAACTAATGCTTCTCTAGGATATGGCGGGGCTTGCACCGCTGGCTGGCTTTCCGGATGAATCGCGTTGGGGAATGGTGTTGACGGCGCGACAGGAGGCGTTGCCACAGATGCGGGTGCATGCACCATGGGGTCTGGTTGTACGCCGATGTACCCGTACCTAAATCCCACGTTTGAGTACTGCGGCCCTACGAAGCCACGCACAGGCATCTCAGAGAGCTGGCTATGGAAAATAGAACGAGAAATGAATGAACTATGAGTGAAGTGAGTACAAATAGCAAAACCCTAATTGGGTTGTACCCCCTATGGTATACCCCACTGTAGCCTACACAACAGCATAACCTACATATATGTTCTGACACACCCCCATAGGTAAAGTG